AGCTCTCACTGGACCGATTTCTTTCAAAAATACGTCAAAAGATCACAAATCGTATCTAGTTGAAGACATTACCCTTAAAAATTGAAAAAAATTCCCTCATTCCCCGCAAATGGAGGAAATGTCCAAAAAAATTACAAATTTAAAAATCGCTAATTTTCGAAATTTTTTCACTTTTTTTTTTAAAACTTCCATAACTTTTTGAAAAATCAACAAATCTACATAANAACTTAAAAATGCTATAACTTTTTGAAAAATGTATATATCAGCACAAATTTTTTTTTTATAAATACATTATAAGTATATCTTTCATTTGACATACTTTTTATTAAAATTGGACAATTTCCCCTTATATAGGGGGTGTTTAAAACTTGAAATATTGTAAAAACATAGATCTTTTTCAACTGAACTTTTGAAAATGTTCCGGATATACTGCGTCCTTTAAACATATATCAAATCAAAGTTTATGTTATATACTATCAAATGAAAAAAAAAAAATTGTCCCGATATCTTATCTTCTATGTGCAAGTGGCTGTCGAAAAAAAAAAAATGTAATGTTTGCGATAAAAATTATCTTTTATTGGGATGTTTTTTGTACTTAAAACTGCCATAATTTTTTCAAAAATGAACAAATAAAAATAATATTTTTTTGTATTGAAACCTTAGGTAATTTCCTTTTGTTTGAAATCATTTTTTTTGAAAATCTAACACTTATTCTGCTCACTGGGGGGATTTAAAATAGTAACTTTTTTACAAAAAATAACTTTTTCAACTTAATTTTTGAAAATGTTCCGGAAATACTGCGTCCTTTAAACATATATCAAAATTAAAGCTTATTTTATGTATTATAAAATGAAAAAAAAAAATTTGTTCCGACGACCTATCTTCTATGCGCAAATGGCTACCATATTCAAAAATATGCTATTTTAACAAATTTTTTTTTTAAAATTCAACACTATCTACAGATTTGCATCGAAGCGTTTCTTATGATAGTGATTTTAATCACTGTCAGATTACATCTATACTGGACCCAACTATGCCACGACCCCACTGTGCTGGGATGTTTAAATTTCGACAGCAATTTGCACATAGTATTTAATGATTCATTCTAGTCAGCAAAGGAGTAATTTTGGAGAATAGNAAGTATAGATGATATCTGACAGTGATTAAAATCACTATCATAAGAAACGCTTCGATGCAAATCTGTAGATAGTGTTTCCTTTAGAGAAATTGGTGAAATATTTTAAAAGCAACATGAACTCTTATTTCTTCAATTATATCCTGATTAGTAGTTCTTTGATTTTAAAATATAATATATGAATAAATACTAATTATAGTTTTTAAATTTAGTATGAAATTGTGAGGCCAGCTATGATGTATGGTTCATAGTGTTGGGCGGTTGATAAGAAAGTAGAGCAGAGAATAAGTGTAGCAGAGATGAGAATGCTTAGTTGGATGAGTGGAGTGACTAGAGAAGATAGGATAAGGAACGAGCATATAAGAGGAAGTAAAGGTGTTGCGTCAATCGTGGATAAGATAACAGAAAATAGACTTAGATTGTTTAGTCATGCTATGAGGAGAGAAGAATCGGAAGCTGTAAGAACAGTTATAGAAATGAATGTTGAAGGAAGAAGAGATAGAGGAAGACCAAAAAAGAGATGGAGGGATGCTATTGAATGCGATTTGAGGACAGCTGATGTGAGCGTAGAAGATGTGGGAGATCGTGTCAAGTGGAATCTTAGGATAAGGGTGGCCGACCCCAAGTAGTTGAGATTAAGGCAAAGAAAAAGAAAAATATTACAAGAAATTGCGGTGGCAATTGACATAATATAATTGTTGTTTCGGAATGTACAATTTAGCGTTTAGTTGGGTTTAAATAATATAGCGTCAAATCAATTACCTACTCTATCGGTTGTATCTCAATATACACTACACTTTAATGATACAATAAATAAATAAACTCACACATACACACATATGCATTTATAACATTGTGTCTAATGTAAGTATAACATGATAAAAAGTAACCGTAAAATGAAAAAAATGGAATATAAATTTTAGTACTCATATTAAATGTAATGTAACTCGAAAAATATTTGTTTAAATGAAAAAATATAAGATAATTTTTTTGTTTATAATTGTCTTTTAAACAACTTTTGTACGAAACTTTTTTTGTAAGTTAAATATTTTTTGACAAAATTAAAAAATCTCATATTTCTTAACTTTTGCGAGGCTGAAAAAAAAAAGCTCAATTTCAATCAATGAGGACTATTAGTATGTCATTATACATATTTTAATTCAACTATTAATAAAACAAAATTTGGTTGGGAATTTTTTAAGAAATTTTTCCTTTGTTGACTGGCCTAGATGTCAATTTTAAACTTGTAATTGAGCTAAAAGTTATGGTAATATATTCAATTTTTTTTACTATAAACTTTCATAAATCTTTATCAAAAATTTTTCATCAACTTTAAAGAACCAAAAAAATAGGTTAAAAATGAAAATTTGGACTGATTATTTTTAACATATTAAAAATCAAATCGGTAATAATTTGAAAACAATTTTTTTTTTCTTTTAATTATTTTTTATATGTAATTAGTAATAATATAAAAAATTAGAACTGATAGATAAAATCTAATTGAAGATTTGAAAACAACGCGAAAATTTGATTTAGAAAAGTATATTTTTGCTTCTAATGAAAGTTCCTTGAAGTCCAGTGCATTCATTTAGAGTAACAAACAGTTTTTATTGATAATTATTGTATCAAGCCCTTTAAATTTTTATACGCGTAAAAGTAAAGCAAAATATAACTTCTTTATTATTTTTATAATTTTTCCGTTTAAATTACAATATTAAATTATTAAATATCAATTTCATACTAAATTTAAAAACTATAATTAGTATTTATTCATATATTATATTTTAAAATCAAAGAACTACTAATCAGGATATAATTAAAGAAATAAGAGTTGATGTTGCTTTTGGAATAATCTACCAATTTCTCTAAATGAAACACTATCTACAGATTGGCATCGAAGCGTTTCTTATGATAGTAATTTTAATCACTGTCAGATATCATCTATACTTGTGCCATCTATGCCTCGTCCAAACTGTGCCTCGACCCCACTGTGCTACAGTTGTTTTTTTAAATAAAGGGGTATTTTCAAAAGATTGATTGGAAAATTTTAGGTGTGGTCATTTTATTTTTTCACCAGAGTAATAGAATAAATTAGGTTGGGTCTGCTTAAATGAAAAAATCATGAATCAATTTTTTTTTTTTCAAGTACTCAACAAAAATTCTTTCTGAGTATTCTTTCTAGATGTCCTTGTTTTTTTTTTTTACTAATCTTACAGTTTTATTAATTTGGACTAATGTCACTTTTCTTATAAGTGTTAAAATATAGTTTCATTTTTTTGTATATATTTAACTTTGGAAGAGGTAAGACGAAAGAATTTTTAAAGTCAAAATTTAAGAGTAACTTTCATAAACTGTGTACGCTTAGATGAAGTTTTGGCTTTTTATGGCCTCTACTAAAACTAGAACATGGTCTAGTGTTATTGAATTTGATCAATTATCATTATGCTAAATGTCTGTTTATAGCTTTTGATTAATGGAAAACTTTCAGATGATTGACATATATTTTTGAAAAATGTTTGACTTTGTATATTTGAAGGATTTTTAATTAGCATCATATATGTATATATTTCAGATTGTGGAAGATTATTTGTCCCCAGTACGACATTAGTTGCACACGGAAATAAAACAGTCATTGGAGAAGCGCCTTGGAATGTCGGCGTGTATCAAGTAAATAAAGATAATTCTGTTGATATGATTTGCGGAGGATCAATTATTTCTCAACATTTAGTTGTTTCTGGTACGTAATCATAAAAATTAATTTAAAACTATTTTTACCTATGAAATGACTTAATTCTAACAAAAATTTAATGTATGCAAGAAATTATTTAAAATTAATTTTTATTTATTTATTTAGCTGCCCACTGTTTTACTGAAGAAAATGGACAAATAAAATACAATATTGATGCTCTTGGTCTTTATAAAATCGGTGTTGGAAAATACAATAGAGATATTAATTTGAGGGATAACGAATTTACACAAATAATTGATGTAAGTTCACTTTCAGTTCTATACATTTATCTTATTTTTATTTTTCACGTAAAAAATTATTGCTTAGTACTTTTTAATTTCAATAATAATTCAGTAAAAATGTGTTGCAGATTGAAAAAATTTATATTCCAGATCGATATTATGGTATATCTGGTTTACACGCCGAGGATATAGCGATTCTTATTCTATCAATAAAAGTAACTATCAGCGTAGCTGTTTCGCCAGTCTGTGTTGATTGGAATTTAAAATATACAGTAGCAAACGGAACACTGGGATTGGTAATATTATATTAATTTTTATTGATTACCACGGCCTTAAGAACCAGTATTTATAACTTATAATTTTTCTAGATTGTAGGATGGGGAAAAACAGAAAACTCAGAATTGAGTCCGAGATTATTAAAGGCAAATTTACCATACCTTGACTACGCTTCATGTCGAAATTTAATAAGACCACAATTTGAGGCCTATGTAACGAACGATAAATTCTGCGCTGGATCTTTAACTGGTATAATCAATTTAGTTAAACATTAAATATTTTTACCGAGGCTCAAATTTTACCAACTATTTTTTAATACAAAGCGTACATTATTCTCCTTTTTTAACGCTAAAACCATTACATTGTCAAGTATTGATTACTATTTTTTATATTTCGTTTATACAAGAAAAAAAACGTTTAAATAAATTTTTAATTATTTATACAACTACCTACAAATTTTTGTACAGTTTATAGTTCTATAACAATTATTTTCAGAGCTCGGTTTAACATTTTTATTTGACGTTTAAATAGATTATAATGTTCAATATATATATAAATTACTGATCAACGCTTCACAGAGATTATCACTATGTCAGCTAGATTACCATATAAATAAATTACTAGACAGTAACAATTATACGATAGTCCCTGATACGCACTATCTCTGGATATACATTTGTTCGATACTCGGGCTTCTTTTACTGAGCGAGAGATTCGAATTGCAGTCTTCATCCTTCTCTCTATCAAAATTATTCTGAGCCAAGTTGTGTTTATTTGCTAGTAACTTATATCCATAGAACATCATAATTTAATTACAAAAAACTAGTGTACAAGGCTGTTAAGAGGAGTTGTGGGAGTGTCACGTGTCTTAGCAATATTTAATCGGCAATTTTTCTTTATACAAGGATATTACAAAATAAATCTTCAAAGAAAGTCGCATAACTTAAAAAGTATTATTCAGATAGAAAAAAGCTTTCTCTTGCGCTTTTATTTTCAGGACGTCACTGTAAGTTTAACACAAATTATGTGTTATCTCTCTTAATAATAGTAATCTATTAAAATAAAATATTTATTATGGTGATATTTTTTTTGTCAAGAGAGAATAGATAAACATCTTCTTATATTAATCTACGTCCCTAGGATAAAAATTAAGTTTCGTTTCTGATCATTTCCGACGCGAGGAGTGAGGCAAGTGACTAGTGTTTGTCTTTTTTGTATGTTGGAGTTTGCCCCTAAAGCTCATATCCTTATTCCAGGATTTTGGTTGAACAGTTTGGGGATTTCAGTAGTCCTGTCATCTAGGATCCAGTGGATTCTATTTGCCAAACTTAACAGAGAGAGAGGTGCTTGCGTCGGCCGCTACCTGTCCAAGGCTGCTTCGACGACTCTGGTAAACTGGAGAACTTGGAGATCCACGCTGTCGGTTAAGCGTGCCAGGTTCTTGGTGTCTGACTCGGTTGGGTTTGGTTTCAATGCTTGTAGGACATCTGGTTGGGTTTGTTATGCCTGCCCTAAAAAGATTTCAAAAAAATAGTCCCTTTTTTCTGGTCTGTGTCCAATGTATTTAGATTTTTTAATGCTAAATTATTTTTTATGACTACTTTATACTGCTACATCTAAAAATGTAACAAGTATTTAAAAATAATAAGCGACCTAAAATTCTATATGCTTGACATGCAATTTGATACCTTATGAGCTTTGCATATCATATTGTCGCTATTGATTTTGATATTATATTATTACTTATACATTTTACTTGTTTTTATATGTATCTGTATTTATTGAGTTCGTTTTTCAGGTCAAGGTGTCTTGGAAGGAGACAGCGGGGCAGGGTTAACTTATATTCACAATAATTTACATTATTTAACTGGAATTGTGAGTTTAAAAGATTCAGAGGCAAATGATTCAATTGCTCTTTTTACAGATGTCAGTAAACATATTCCATGGTTACAAAAACTTTATTTAAATTATACTAATAATAATGGAATGCGGATAATTTAATTTAATTTTTTGTGTTACCAAATGACGTGTAGTGTATACAAAAAAAATATAACTATTTACATAAAAACGTATTGATGTTATTAAAATTTTTATTACTATAATATTCTGGAATTCAATTCTTTAAAAAAATCTAAAAAATACCTATACAAATGTTTATAAAATGTAATACGTATTATATTTAATATACAATTACTCCCGCTCCTATTGGACCGATTTTTCTCAACAATATGTCAAAAGATAACAAAACGTATCTAGTTGAAGTTAACAGTGCTATGATTATATTTTGAAAAAAATTCTCTTCAGACCCGGTAATAAAATGAAATGTTCCGAAAAATACAGTCGTCATAAAACATTCAATGTTGATATTTTTAGTTTTCACTATGTTAAAATATCTTTTTGAAAAATGAGTGGATAATTGTGAATTTATTATTGATAATATTTCATAGATTTTCTTTAATCACGGCAAATTCTTTTATTTTTAATTTTTATAATGTTATAAAACCTAACTCTTTAAATCTATATCAAATTAAAAATAATACAATTTACTTAATTTAAGAAGAAAAAAGAAAAACTATTCGAAATTTTGATTTTAAGCCGATTTTTCATGATACTTTTCATACATACTTTCATCATTCTAAATTATTTCAAATTAAAGCTCCTTTAATGTAACATATGTTAAATAAAAAAAAAAAGTTCTCTATGAATAATAAACTCCTTAAGTCAAAAACTATATAATTTTTTGTATTTACAATCATGTAATTTTTGGTATTTTTTATTTAATTTTTAATATTATTTAAATAGCGTTGGAGACAGTCATTTTTAATCACTGTTTAAAATAAATCAATATTAATTAAAATAATGTCTCAATTCCACTTTATTTAATCCTGTATGTACAAATATATTACTTATTTTTTTCAAATATTTATAAATAAGCAAAGTGATCAATTTTGTCAAATTTTAGAATAAAACTTTCTAATTTGTCGTAATGGTTTTTAAAAAAAAAATTTTAATTAATCTAAATCTCAAGTTTAACTGAGAAAAATGTGATTTTTGAGTTGTCGCCGGCGTGATGATTGTTAGAACAAAGACATTAGCAACGAGACTAGCAACACAATAAGGATAGCTCACAATGGATTTTACCATTAAATAAATATGTAATGTTGGGTAGGGTTTACTGTTATAATTAAATAATTTAAAAAAAGATTTAATGTTTAAAATTTTAATTGATATTTATTTCCATAATAAGAAAAATAAAACAATATTATTTAATGAAAAAATAATCTTAATTAAAAGATTTACCAAACAAAATTCACTTTAAAATTTCTAAGTGCCATTTAAATTGAAAAATATTCCAAGTCCAAATTAATTAAAAAAAACGACTGTCCCAGAAAGTGAGAATCTTGAGTAGTGTCGCAAATTTTGTGTATTTTGATGTTATCAAAAGAACTGGTTTTGACAAAGAAAAGTGCCTTTTTATAGTCTGAAGAAAGTAGTCTAGCGATTTCTAGCGTAATCTTGGAAACTGAGGCTATCTATTCTAATTGGTTAATTATTATGGGAGAACTGTGCATAGACGTTACTCTAAAATCTGTACAATAAGTAGATTTTATCTCATAATTAAGTGTTTATTTTGATTTTAAATAAGGGAACAAATAAATAATAATAATAAATTTATCAATAATATGTCTGAAAATACAAAGGTAGGCAAATACAAAGTGACAAGGAGGACATACAATTTCTGCATTTTGTTAAAATAGACTCTCCCGTATTCACGTGTATAACATTTGGCGTAGACATAATAATAAATACTATGTCATTGATATTTAGTAATACTACCGAAAGATAAAACTTTATCTGTGGTAATACAGTAAGATTGCTTTCACATAACGTTAATAGTGCTTAATGCTCAATGATCCCTCCTCTTATAATATTAAACAAAATACCTATTTCTGTTATTTGTATAGAATAACAAAGAGCCCCCACTAAAGATTTAATAGAACACTATAATCTGCAATTCAATATTATCGAAAATAATACTAAACTGATAATAGCTTTAATAGCATGATTAAAATGTGTAAATTATTCAAACGATTTTAGAAATTTCTTTAAAAAATAGCGATGTAAGACTTCAAAATTAATTAATAACTAGCTAGCAGCTATACTTGTACATACAAAGTTTTTAAAAATACTAAAATAATAATGTTTAATATTGTACAGTTATAATGTATATCTATTATATTAATTTTTAATGATCTATCTGTTCAACATGAAGTTATTTTATTTTATTGTCTGTAATTGTTTATGTATATGCTGAAATCGGCAAAAATTATACCACTAATTAGTTTACAACTTAAAATTTTTCAAATTAGGGGTCTTTTTGTCAGTTTAATTATTTTAATTTTTAAAATATGTTCACTTCAATGTTTAATTCACTGAGTTATACTATACCCAAATGCACAATGATAGACAAAGTACCACAGGAAGAAATAGAAAATAAAAGAAACTATGTTGAAAGTCTTTTGGATGACCTCATTTTAACTACAGAAGATTATGGTATAGAGGGACATTTTACAAAAATAGAAAGCGATACATTAAATGATTACATATCATCAGATTCTATATCTGATTCCTCTACATTTTATGACTATAATGATACTGTTGATAGTGTTGCTGAGCATAATAAAAAATCTGCACTCAATGAAAATATTTGTAGAAGTAAACTTCAAGATCATTTAATGAATGATTTCAATACAAAAAAAACAGTCAAAATAAATTCTTTGCAATGTTTATTTTCTTGGAAATTAAATAGAAATACTGCACATAATATAATGAAGTGCATTATTGACAAATATGACAATCAAACTCTAAATTTGTCTATACCTGAATTTACTTTTGAAAAGTATGTTTTTTCTTTTATTGTTATGTGTTATTTATTTTTAATTTTATATTAGATTTATAGGTAATATCATTATTTGCTTTGAATTATTTCAAAATAATGATTGTGAAATGGCACAAATAAAAATGATAGAGTTGTATAAGTGGATTGAAATACAAGATAACCGTGGTGAAGAATTTTATCTATCAATTCAAATAGGATTGAAACATATAGTACTTTCCACATTTGCACAAATATTGATTACAACAAATTGTGTTAAAGAATACCAATGGGTGAGTTATATTGAAAGCATTGAAGTTAACATTTTTCCAGGGCTTAAACTGGATAAAAAATTATACAGATACATGGAATACTAATACAATTGTATAGAGATCATAGTCTTTTTTGTATCTCTATTAATTTTTCTCTTCACATATTTCATTTCTTAAAAATGTATTATTGGCATTTTAAGTTTAAAAAAAATATATAATTTTACAAACTTATCAATTTATTTACATACTTTAAAGTATATAAATATAATAATGATTATTATTTAAATATGTATTTGTGTTAAATTTTGCTTGAATGTCCTTTGGTACTGGCTAAATAGATAAATTAAAAAATAATATAATTAACCCATATAGTATTATATAATAATATAATAATAAAATAATATAACATTGTTAGGTTCAAATAATTTTAAATAAACATTAATATTAAAATAAAAAACTATTTGGGAATAAATATGAATGAATATAGTAAAAAGACTTTTTTTCTAATTAATTTAAGTTTATTAAATCTAGGCTTGCTTTATTTCAAATATCATAAAAATAATACATGCAATTAAATTAAGGGTTATAATATTTATAATTTAAAGGAAATAATAAGTAGTTAAAAACAATAAATTTATTATAAATAATTAGATTTAGTACTTTTTGAATATTGTCAAAAATTAAAAATGTATTTTAAGAGGTTTGCCTTTTCTAGTAAAAGCTACTTTTTATTTTTACTTAATTAAATTTGTTCATAATTGTCATAAAATTTAATTAAGCCAAAATTTCTATTAACAGCTATTAGATGAAATCATTCCATTTGAAAATATTGAATTTAAATCAAAAGCAGCTATTTATGCTGTTCATGCTGCAGTATTGGTTGAATATGGGGAAAAAATCTGTGATTTTAAAAAAGCTAAAAAATATGCAAAAGAAGCTTGTAATTTGGATTCTACAAATGCACAGTGGCAGTATGTCTATTCCCAAGTACTTGCTGCTCATAGATATTTTTTGTTTAAGGACCAGTTATTTTCCAATCCAACCAAAAATGAAATCTGTTTGGTACAAAATGCAGTTATATTATCTAAAGAAAATGAAGAAAAAATTAATTTTCATAAATTTACTTTAGAATGGGATATTATAATTAATAATTTTTATAGAACTGTAGATAAAAAGTCAGCTGCTAAAAATAAGGAGTTAAATGAAATTATTTATGAAGTTATTCAGTAAGAATTATTCTTAAATTCAATGTTATGATGTTAATCATATTTGTATTAAAAAAATGTATTTTTTTGTTAGAGCTATTTGTAAAAAAGAAGTAAATAATTCTTATTTCATAAATTGGTGCAAAAGGACATTGATGACTGTACCAATTATGGTTGATAATGTTATCTTAGGGAAAAAATTATTGAAAAATGCATTAAAAATGGCACCAAATAATTTAGTCTTGCTAAATGCAGTTGAAATTGCTACAGACTTTTTCAATGAAAATGTAAGATATAATTTACTTATGTACAACAAGTATTAAATATGTGTGCAGGATGTTCGGTGTATCATAAATCAATCAATTACTCTCAAAATAAATACAGTATTGAAAAAAAAGTTGTGGGTTTTTTTAGTTATACTTTTATATTTTTTATTTGTATATTTTTTTAAAGGTAACATATATATTTAATTAATTTATAAAATGAAAAATTATCTAATTAATAAAATGACTGGTCGATAACATTTGGAACAGTACTTTGTATGTTATTCTCATTTTTATACTAAGGCAGGACGAAAAGTACGGTCGGGAAATAACTAATGATATAAATAGCAGCATTCACTCTTTATCTCCAATTATTACTTTAAATTGCTAATAACATAAATAAAAAATATTGGTGTATCCAAAATAATTTAATCAGATTTAATTTAATTACTAAAATGTATTAATAAAATAAGGTAGATTTAAAATTGAACGTATAACCTAAATCATATTTTATAAGTTAAGTTTTTAAATATTTTATAGTGATTCAGTGGCATGGGGGTAGGTATATTATGAATTTTACATGATTAATATTAAATTTTAAATTAAGAAAATTAAATATTTAAAGTACAATTTTAGTCCTTTAATGTTGAAATCATTTGATTGAAATTAACATAAACAAAGTTTTCTATGATGAATAATTTTACTCATTATGGCACACTAAAAATTTCTCTACATTAATTCATTTTAATAAATTATTGAAATGTTGCAGGATAAATTAAATAATTTTTTTATGAATATTGCTCCAGAAAAAGAAAACTCACTATCAAATGAATTACAATTAATTGTAGATCAGCATAACATAGGTAAAGATGCTATTCCTTTACTGATTAGTTTGTTAAAAAATGTAGACGGTTTTGATTTATGGATAATATTGGCTCAAATTTGTTCTTATAATATAATATATAAAAAAAATCTGAGAGTTGGTGTTGACAACTTTATGATGCTAATTGAAAACAAACCAATTGATACAAATGATTTGATTGTGGTAATTACCAATAGATTACAATAAATTCAAATACTTTTAATGTATATTCTTATAAAATTGTTTTAGCATCACTATTCTATATTTATGTCCAATAAAAAAATCAATTTAGCTGAGCTAATAAATAATGAAATAAGGTTAACAATTAAGAACAATTCTGTAACATTTAATGATATGCTGTATTATCTGAAAGTTCTGTCTAAAATATTGGAAGTATTCAAAATTAAAACTATTGATGTAGACCCTTTTATGTGTTCAAATTTAATTTGTAATACATTTTACGATTGGACAAGTAATATTAGTGAGTATCATAAAAATGACAATATATTTAAACATGATGTCGCAAATCAAAATGTTGAGAAAAAATTGAAGAAACGCAAAAGTAGGAGTAAAAAGCATAAATACATTGTAAATGTTAGAACTAAGATTGTAACAAAAAAACTGAAGTTAAACAAGAATAAAAAACTAGACCACCCTTCAAATTCTAAAAATATTGATCTCAGATTTGTTAAGAAGAAATGTTCTCATTTAAATAATAAGAAACATTTTGTTGGTGTAACAAAAGTTAATTTTAAGCGATTAGTTAGTTTTAATTATATTAATAACTATTTTTTGGTTATGAAAAATTGTTATGTAGATTTAAGTATATCAACTTATCAGAAAAATGAAACGTCTGCTGAATTATATCGTAATTTAGTTTTAGACCTTATAAAAAAACTACCTGAAAATACACAAATTGTATACACTGATGCCTCTAAAACATGTAATGGTGTGGGTGTCTCTATAGTACATAAAAAAAAAACATATAAGTTGAAAATTCCTGAAAATTGTGACACATATACTGCGGAAGCTATAGCAATAAGGTTAGCAATAGGTTTGGCAAACAAATTAAATGGTAGTCATTTTATGATTATGTCAGATGCTTTAAGTGTCTTATCTAGAATTCAAGATAATTATAAAAGTGATCCTATAATTAAAGATATATTAGTTGAGTCAAAATTAAGTACCAAAAAGATAGCATTTGGATGGATTCCAGGGCATTGTGGTATTCCCGGTAATGAAAAAGCTAATAAAGCAGCTAATGAAGCAACAAAGCTTTCTAGTATTACTAGAATATCTTCAATTATTGATGTTAATAAAGTAATATCATTATTTCGAAATTAAGAAATTCAATATAAAATCAAAGAATGAATAGATATTTTTTTTTTGACAAAATCTATAACGATGATTAATGTAATGAGTATTGTCCGTGAATTATAGATTTTTTAATTATAGAATTTGAATTATTATATAATAAAATAATTATATAAAAATGATTTTTTTTTTTAATATGGAATAGTGTGATAAATTTAAATCACCTTTTGATCCTTTAATAGGATTTTCTGTGTAAAAAACTAAAAAATCGAAATAATTAACTGAATTATATATTGTAATATGGATGTTCTTCAATTCTAATAGATTTTTGAAATTATAATTATAAAATATTTAGTTATTATTACTGAAAAATATTTTAGTTTCATGATACATTTTAAGTGCATACGATTACTAGTTAATAAATAAGAACTGTACAAACTAAGATTATCAAGTTTATGAATCCAATTGTTTTTCTTTTTATAGTATTTTTGTTACTGAATATTACAATTTATAGAACTGTTTTTAAATCATGTTTGTAATTTAATTTTAATTTTTTACAAATTTTTGTTTTAATTGGTTAATTGATATTAAAGGCTGAAACCAGTTGCATTTGTTTAGTTTTTTAGATGAAACCAATTATTATTAAAATAAAACCATATCCACAAACAAATTGAACAGTTTCAGTCTATAATATATATTGTTATATTATATTTAATCTTTGTGACTTTGTTTTTATTTTAATATACGAGGAAATTAGTTATTTAGAAGATTATTTAAAATAACTTGATACAAAAAGAATGTTTAATAATTATATACATTTTTTAAAATTAAAAGTAAACAACAGTATTGTATTTAATAGGTATGTCAAAAGGGGGTTATGACATTCTAGTACAAGTACTAAATAAAATTATGTTATATAACACTATTATATTATTGGCTCTATACACATTGATAAACAAATTTAATAACATTATTTTTATGTCTTATCGAGTGATTTAAGTCAACCACTATTTTAATAAATAATTTATTCAGTTTTCTTTTGAAAGTTTTTTGTTAAAAGGGGCTATGGAATATTTATACTCAAAAAAGGTTTTAGTTTATCATTTCAAATATGGAAATTCATAATTTTTTTTTTTTCCAATTGTTCATTATTTACCTAATTTTTATTTTTCCAACAAATAGAGAATTTTAACAAATATGAAATAAAAAAAAATGTTCATATTTATGGTACTCACTTAAAATTAACTCGAATTGCACTATTGTCCGTCCTCAGTTAAGGTCGGCCTAGCCAAGTTCTAAATGTCTTTGTTAGAGCCGTATTTGATGGTTATATGAATTTAAGACCGCCCTTTATACAATATTGATGAACAAAAAAAAATACTTTTATTTTTTTCAAAATTTTTGCGTACAACTGACTGCATTAATTATCATATTTAATATCATTGCTCAAGTCTCAAACCATATACAAACTGAATTGTCAAATATTGATAACCTTAAAGTAAAATTTAATAAAACGTTTGCATTTTGTTGAGTTTCTATGTTAATTGTTGTTGACTAATAATATTTCTACAGAAAAACTAGCAATATTAGAAAAATAATTATTTCGTGTTATTTGTAGGTTTCGCACTCTAATATTTATTAAAATTTTCAGAGAGGCTTTTACCTTCCCTAGTCATCATCTAAATATGGTCCTGGGCATATTATTAATTTTATATTTTTAACTATACCGGATCAGATCAAACCTTGATATTGGATCATACTTTGAATTATAAAAAAATAAAAGTTTTATTCATTAAAACATATTTTAATGATTCATTAAAAAGTACTTCAGAAATTTAAAAGTTTGTATTTTTGAAGAATTCGTAAAAAAAATGTCCCCATCTTGTATGAAAATGTTTTTTGATTTTTTTAAAACTTTCTGTTTATATTCAATTTTTAATACTCGTATGTACTTCTAGAGAGTTTCATGGTTTTGTAATGACAAGGAACATTTAATAGCATACAAAATATTTGCTCAATGCATTTAGATGTTGATTTCCGGGCTCATTTCTTTTTACGGACTTGAATTACTTGGAATTAAAAAAATATTAGGGGTCGCTTATAATATTTTTCCTCACCAAAAAAATATTTTTGTCACGTTAAATATTATTTTTTGTAAAGCTTTGTCTTTGTGATGTATCAAATAAACTGATAAACTTTCCAGTGTTCAACATAACCTTTTTCTGAACTCTTTTTAGCTTTGATATAAAGCTCTGAAAGGAATAATTTTACTATAATAAATATGTATTCTATTTTTTTAGATCGTTTTCACTTAGCTCTGACTACATAATTCTTTTCAACAATATATAAAAAATCACAAATCGTATCTAATTGAGGATAATACTTTAAAAAATTTCCTCGTAAATGAGAAAAATATTCTAAAAAATTACAATTTTTAAAAAACAATAAATTACAATAATTAAAAAAAAAAAGTTTTTGATATATTGATGAATAAAAACAATTTGTATTTTTATACAAATGATTTTAATTTTTTTATTCATTAAGTATTTTGATATATGTTTTAAGGTATAAGTGGCGGAATAGAGATTAAAAATACCCAAGGTAATAAAAAATATTTTTATTGCAATGATCAGGTTTGTTGAAAACCTTTTTAAAATCTAAGTAAACAATTTAAAATATCTCATAACACTAGTGTAAATTTTGACATTTTTGGTGTTTTAAACATGTTTAAAAAGTAACAACCCTGACAAAAATACGATGATAATTCAATTAGGTAGGATAGTAAAAATCACTCTTACATATATTTCCTTACCAAAGATAGTAGTAAAAAAAAAACCCAGCACAGGGGGGTCGCGGCACAGTGGTGACGTGGCATAGTTGGATCAAGTATAATGATATCTGACAGTGATTAAAATCACTATCAAAAAAAAAACGCTTCGATGCAAATCTTTAGATAGCGTTTTATTATAAAAAATTAGTGGATTATTCCAAAAGCTACATGATCTGCTAGTTCCTTATTAATATCCTGATTAAGACAAAGTATGTCGAATAAAAAAGAGATTATTAGAAAATAGTATTTCCCATAAAAAAATTATATTGATCAATACACTTTTCAATAAGTTATAGCATTATAATGTTAAAAATGTAAAAAATAAAATTGAGAATTTTCACACAATAATAGCATTTGGTAGCCATTTTCACCTTGAAGATAAAATAAAGTCCGAAATTTTTTTTTTCCATGATAAAGTATATTACATTAGCTTTAATTTAAGATATATATAAAAGTGTCAGACCTTCCGGAACACTTTCAAAAGTTACGTTGAAAAAGTTCTACTTTCTATATGCATTTTTATGTTTTGAATCCCCCCTGTATTTAGGGAAATGGTCCGATTTGAAAAAACAGTATGTCGAATGAAAGATCTATATAAATACTACTTCTCATAAAAAAATTATAATGATTCATACATTTTTCAAAAAGTTATAGCATAATTAAGTTAAAAATTGGAAATACAAAATCGAAAATTTTCACACAAAAATAGCATTCGGTAACCATTTTCACCATGAAGATAAGATAAAGTCCGAAATTTTTTTTT